TGAGCTCCCCCGAAAGCCATGATTTCGTTCGCACACTGGGTGTGGATTTAGTGTAGTCAAAGACAAATGCAATAATTTTGAGTCATTAAATTCAACAATATCCACTCTGGCCCCAAGAGTTTTGTTTCAATAAAAGATCTGAGTTTTATTCCGTTTTTTACGCTGTTATGTGCATTTTTATTTTAACAAACAGACCCTTTACATTTAGGTTTATGATGGACTCACTGCAGATGCTTGTAGCTTTTGTCTGATGTTTTGTCCATTTATACAGTCCTGAAGAAACAAAACACAGTTTCAGCTTTGATTTTTATTTTATTTAATAGTTAATGACAAATGACAAATAAACTTAGACTTGAAGGTTAGTAGTTTAAGGTGACATTGGATCGTGGCATTACTTGTAGCACTTCGGATCACATGTTTAAATACAAATAGGGCCAAACTGAAACTATGCTCAGTTCTGTGATTTGTTTGTTGTTGTTATAAATGAGCTGAGTAAAGATCTTTCTGTTCCCTTGTAGAAACTGGTTGTGCCAAAAGGTGTTGAGGTGACCAACCCCAGAGCCCGGGGCTGGTTCATCAACCCCATGGGAATAAAAAAACCTTTTCCCTACTGGATGATGGGTGCCTGCTGTGTACCAGCACTGCTCGTCTTCATCCTCATCTTCCTGGAGTCCCAGATTACTACGTGAGTGACACTATGGTTGTATATTAGCCTTCAATATTACTCCATGTAATCCCATCCAGAGTTTTTTCTGATATTCTCTGTGGATTGACAGGCTGATTGTGAGCAAACCTGAGAGGAAGATGGTGAAAGGATCTGGTTTTCACTGGGATCTGCTCATCCTGGTCACCATGGGAGGCATTGCCTCTATTTTCGGGGTCCCATGGCTGAGCGCTGCCACTGTGCGATCTGTCACCCACGCCAACGCTCTCACTGTCATGACCAAGGGCCCGAAACCAGAGATTGAGAAGGTGATAGAGCAGAGGATCAGTGGCTTTCTTGTGGCCATCATGGTTGGTAGGTGCTGCCATCTACAGTGCTGATACAGACACAGCAGGGTCGCATTAAATTGTCATTTTCCTTTAATAATCATTCACTTTCTGTGATTTACAGGTGTTTCTATTTTCATGGAACCTATTCTGAAGATGATTCCTATGACAGCCTTGTTCGGCATCTTCCTCTACATGGGTATTACCTCTCTGAGTGGAATCCAGATGTGGGACAGGATGCTTCTGTTGATTACACCAAAGAAATACCATCCCTCTGAGGCCTATGCCACCAGGGTATGCAACCTTCTGAAATACAGGACTTTGCTCTAATTATTAATATATTATACACCCTTGTGTCTCAAGTCATATAGCTGTACTGTGTATAGACTGAAATATGATAATTTTGTGTCTCTTTGTGGTGACTTTGAATCTGTTTGTGGTCATTTTACATCTTTTGGTCGTCATTTTGTGTGTCTTTGTGGTCATTTCACATCTCTTTGTAGTCATTTTGCATCTTTTTGTGGTTGTTTCACATCTCTTCAGAGTAATTTGACTAACTTTCCAACAAGTAATGTTAACAGTCACTTCAAACTGAGACTCTGGCCCAGAGGCCCTGTGACCCCTTGGACACCTGGGTCCAGTAGACCCTTTCAGAAATCCTTCCATGCAAAAGACTATCACATTAAATTGTACATGCGTTGTTTTTTTTTAACTGCCTATGACAATCTCCCAGTAAATTATCTAAGCCTGAATTAGCATTCTGTTTCCATGTTAGTCTTTGGCTCTGCGTTCCCTGTTAAGCCTGTCCTCTGTTCATTTGTGTAGGTGAAGACCCTGCGGATGCATCTATTCACACTGATCCAGCTCGTGTGCCTGGCTATCTTGTGGATGGTGAAGATCAGTCCCTTCTCCCTGGCACTGCCTTTTGTTCTCATTCTCACTATTCCTCTGCGCATGGCCATGACCGGCACGCTCTTCACTCCCATGGAGATGAAATGTGTAAGTACCTCTCTGTATATGTTGCATTAACCCCTAGGGTCAGGCACACATTATTGTGTTACTTAGGTTTCTCTGTTGTAACTGGATGTGTGTGTGTGTTTGTGTGTGTTGCAGCTGGACGCAGATGATGCCAAAGTGACATTTGAGGAGGAACCTGGGAAGGATGTGTACGATGAGTGCCCACTCCCATAAACAACACCATATCATTCATGTTTCATTCACAAACTTTCAAATGAACTAATTTCTTGACTGCCATTAATCTTTAAAAATATGTATTGTTGTAAACATACAGTTTCAAACTATTCTGTTCTGTTACTATTATTATTTGTCTTTAAAGGAAATTACCTCTCATTTCTAGAATTCATACATTATTCCTATAGCTGAATCTGTGTTTCTTCATCTTTTATGTGACCATAGTTTGGGTTTATTGACAATGCTTCCCTTTTTTTGTTTCTTAAATCAGACTGTTTAGTGATTTTATGATGGAGAAACATTAGATGTCTTTAAATGAGAAGTAATTTCCCTTCGGATGTGAAGTAAATCCATTTATAATAGTTTTTTTTCCTTTAGTGCATAACTACAGTATAGCTTTAAAGTGAGTACCAGTGGTGCCACATTGTAGATCTGCTCATGTTGTAATAACATGACTGCACCTAACTTAATGTTCCCTATTTAAGTTAAACACATTTGATCTATTCACTTCTTTACACATGCACAAATAATGCATTTTTATGGGACTTTGACTTTGACTATCACACCAGCCTTTAGCCCTATACAGTAGTCTTCCTTAGTTTATTTTCAAAATGTGTTTTCAATTACTCAAGTTTGCTCCATTTGACATATTGTGTATGGTTTTCCTGAAGAATGTTTAGAATGTGTATAGAAAGATGTTTAACGCACTTATATCCGATTGATTATTGCTTTTATGATTATATAATGTGATGAGAAGTGATGGGTGAAGTGTATGATGAAATATAATTGTTTGAGCCGGATGTCGTACTTATGATATAATCAGGGAAAAGCTTAATTGTAAATGCATCCTATTAGGCCTTTTTGTGTTGCCTATCATGTGTTTGTGTGCCTGAAACACTGTACATGCTATGGTTTTTCATTTTATTAAAAATAAAACTGCCTATAATGTGCCTGTCTTTATTAATGCATTAGAAAATACAATATTTCACATCACTCGCATAGTTTTAATAAGTAACAAGAGAGGGTTGTTCAATTGCGTGACACTGAATGATGCCTTCAATGTTATCCAGAAAAATACAAATTTAAGCAGCGTGTAGTTTTCTAGTGCTGCCAGCTTGGCCAAAATTAGCTCAAACCACGTTCACCGTTTGAATTATTTATTTAAATCCAGATGATCAGAGTATTAAAGATGGATCAGGTAAGTGATTAAAAAAACAGTATGGCAGGTTCAATATCCTTTCACAGATCCAGTACACGTCCGGATCTGTCATGGAGAACCAGAGTTTTAATAAATACATAAATAAGTAGTTACTTGTCAATACAGAACATAATGACACTCCTTCGAACAGTTTCCATTTATATCTTATTTCATTTGATAAAGCTACTTTCATCAAAAAGTCAGATATGTGATTGAACAGAAAGACAGAGTGGAATAAACAAATACAACAGTAATTAAGAGAATATCAAATTAACTATACAGACCTTGGAAGCAGGAGAATTTGACAATACTAACTGATGAATATGAAGAAATTAAATAAAAATGATCCGCAACAAACACGGTATGTCAAAATAAACTGGATGAAGTAACATTTCAAGATTGCAATAGTTCCCAATCTATGGTTACATTACATATCACATATACCCCCTCATGGTTTATTTGATTTATTTTAAACACGGTCAAACAAACACATCGACATCCAATGTTTGTGCCCGCAATGGAGGCAGAATTTCCGACAGCCACGGAACGCAGCACAGTTTAACAAGGCCTGAAAGTCATTTGTTTTCCTCGAATCGGACTGAGTGGATTGGACGGCCGCGGGTTCCGCCCACAAACACACAAGGTGGAGTTGAAAAGAAAAAACATGCAGGGCCAAAATGAAGCTGTCAAACAGCCTCTTACTATTTGCTAAAAGAGGAATCGAGCAATGTGAAAATGCATGGAGGCTTGCATAGAAGACCCTTTTTAGGTAGTTCTCTCTAAAGTGGAAGTCTGACATTGATGAGTGAAAATTAAAAACTTTTATTTTTATTTTTAAATGAAAAAAAAAAAGTTAATTATACTAAGTTATGGGAGTATGTGAGATAAGCTGAGTGCATTTATATTAGATAACAATTGGCACAACTTCGGCTTTCATGAAACTTTCCGCTGCCATGTTAAAAAATATTCGTGGTTCAAACTTCGGGCCGGAGATCTGACAGCGTCGGGCTGCGGGAGCAACTAAATAATGGCTCTCGGTAGGGTTTCAGAAACAACGGCGCAAGGTCGGAAAAATGTGGATGTTCCGGCGTAGCGAAATGGTTGGATGGAGAGAGAGGAGCTGCTACGCGCTGAGTGGAGGGAGACGGCGAGTGAGATGGAGGCGGGGGGGAAGGACCATCTCTGCGGGGACTGGAGCCCAGGACCGACGGCGCAGTGCTGGCTATCGTTCAACCCTCCCCTTCTTCCTCCACAACGACACCGAGGCTCACGCCGAGAGACAGGTAAGCCAACAAAACAACCGCTCGGGCGAGAGTGTGCGATAAACAACCCCGAATAAGGTTGTTTTGGTTTTTTTTTGTTTTTAAACACGCAAAATCTACCGTTTAATGTTCAATTATTTTGTTGTTAAAAGCGCCGCGGTCGTCAAGCCTCTTTTTGTAGTAGCGAAATAAACCAACCGCTGTGGCAGCGTACAGACGAGGTCGGCCATAGCCGGATTTCTTGTCCTCTACAGCGGGGAAGAAAACTGGATGTTAAGACCCGGAGGTAAATGCGATAGCGGCTTTTAAAAAAAAAAAAAAAAATACACCAAGCGATTGTTTTATGCTAATTCCCGTCATCGAAACTCGGCTGTTCGTGCTTGTAGTCGGGGTATTTGCGTGGGGGAATTAACGGTGGTTTCCGCGCCGAGACCTCCATGCGGCTGTTGGCGGAACAGCCAGCCGCCTCTCTCGGTTAGCCATCAGGGATCTCGGTTTAATATCTCACCGTGCAGAGACTCGCCCTCTCTCTCCCCCTCTCTCTCTCACTGACTAGCCCAGAACCACCGACGACCGAGCTCGGAGAACCCGCCTTCTTGGTCTCGTTTATGCGCTTTTGGACCGAGGGAAGGGAGTCTGCAACGCCCTGGCTTTAGTTTTAAGCTCCGTTTTTCTGTGTTTGCAGTGCGCCATTGGACCTTGTCACGGTAGGTTTCTTCCTTGTAGAGCAGAGCTGAAGCATGGCGGACCTGGAGCTGTTTGTCGCGCCAGTGAAGCTGCTCTGCCTTCGGATGTTAACATGTTTCCTTTGAGCTTTTTTTCTTTCCAGCCAACAATTTATACTACAGTTTATCCGCGCGACATTGTAGCACAAACCGTTAACAGCCAACCGTTTCCGTTTGAAACGAACTCTCCGGTGAAGTGAGGTCGAGGCTCTTTAACGTTTAACCGTTAAAAAAATATTTTCCATTTTCTTCTTTCTTCCTGCGCCTCCGCAAGTCCTTCCAACCCACCACCATGACATTTATCTCGGACGTTTTGCCCAATTTGTTTAAATGTAATTTTTACAGAACTCCATTAAATCTGTTGTAACGAATTTTAAACGTTTAACGGTCGCTACATTTTTGCCGTTATAAGGTTTTTTTTTTTTAAATGTTAAATAGTAAAATTATGTAGAGGTCCACCAAACCGGATAGGTTATTAAATACAGCTAGGTAAACGCAGAGTTTTGTATTAAACGGTAAAATTTAAAAATATATTGGAGTAAAGTGCAATTTAAATGTTTCATTTGTCGTGCCAAGTTGCCCTTGGGCATGTAACTTAATGCTTGAGCTCCCAATTTGTTATCATCCATATGTTGTAATATTATCATACTGAAATTAAAGATATATTTGACGTTATAACGGCTCCAGGTGTACGTTAAGGTATCTATTTAGTCCCAGAAATGCTGATAATGGTAGTTTTTAATGCAGCTGGGTCACACCGTGGACTCCACAGTGAGCTGGGGCCACCAAGGACACGATGAACAACGAGCAGCCGCCATCATTGGAGCACAGCTCGGCTACGCCTCGCTGAAGAATGCTCTGGGTTTTGCTCTCAAATCGCCACATTTAACGCCAAAAACCTGAATAAAGCGGTCTGTAAAACACTCTTGGAACACATTTATTAACTGCAAGCAAATTCTCATATCGATTTCCTCGCTCCAGCCTGAGTGAACACTGGAAGAGGGAGATTATAGGGTTGCATGGCGGAGCTAGATCCGCGTCCATCGGTGATGAGGCGCCTGTGCCGAGTGGCGCATTTGGCTGCAGTACTTCCAAGCAACCATTCCCCCTTGTCGGAGACCGAAAGCAGATCCCCAGCCCGTGGTCAGCTGGTCGCCTACAGCTGCCTGTCCGTCCACTTCCATTCGCTTCCTCCTTCCGTGTATCCTCCCCAACCTCCGACAGAAAATCCTCCATTACCGGGCGGACCGACAGAGAGAAAATGGTCGCTCCTGCGTGTCCACGATACTTTTGTTGTGGAATAAGGATAGTAATAATACGCCAGATTCCCGCTGGCAGGATTTGCTCGACGGAGACTGCTGTTGTCGCTCTAGTTGTGCTAGTTGAAGCCCTCCGCAGTGTTATTTGAGATTTGAAGCCGTCACAAGCAATAGCCTATGTCTCACCATGTAGCGTAAACGTTTAAGGGGCGGTGTAATGAACATAAACCATTATGTCGAGGCAAATTTAAATCCCACGACTTGGAAACATCGGAGTTTTACTTTTTTTTTATATATATATCAAAGACAAAATCACTTTTGGAGAAACTTTATGAATCATTTGCGCATTAAAATGACATTCTCGTTAAATTATGTGATTTAATAAACATAACTATTATGAGTGTAGGAGCGAAGTATGAACCTACATATGTATGGATTTCAATGTTTTTCTCTATTAAAGTTAATGTTACTGTAAGATATATGTTTGTTAACTTTATTTTTTATTCTTTTTGTAGATACAAGACAGTACACTTACAAATGAATGGGGAAATGGAGGCAACCACCCAAGTCCTAGGTGGGATTTTATAACAGCTTTGCTAACTTTGTATTCCACAATTAATCCACAGAAACAATAGATTAATTATTCCTTTTAAGACGCACACAATTACAATTAATCTGCTATTATAAAAACGTATATTAATGATATAATGATGCTTTTGATTAATGTATTTTACATGTTCCTGTAGCAATTATAGTGATCTTCTAAGAGTAAACCTACTATTTAGTTACAGAAAACTCTTTATTACACACACACAATCTAAAAAGTCAGTATGTAAATTATATAGTGATTTTAATAATGACAGTTTCAAGTGTTATTTTTGTTATTTATTGTTTTTGTGTTATCACAGTGTGGGCGCAGGATGACCTATTAAAACTGCTGGAGGCCATGAAAGTGGCCCTGCCCCAGAAAGATCTGACTAAATACAAAACGTCAGAGTCCCACCTCGACTGGCAGAAGGTGGCCTTCAATTCCTACACAGCAGAGATGTGTAAGCAGAAGTGGCAGGAGGTCTCTAAAGAGGTAAGCCACGTTTGGCAATATTGATATTGATTGTTGTTTATTGTCTTTTTTCCACTTCATTGAATGTGCATGTTTTTTTTATCTGCCTTATCCACAGATTCGTAAATTCCGGACCCTAACAGAGCTGATAGTCGATGCTCAGGACTACATCAAAAACCCTTACAAGGGCAAGAAAATAAAGGTGAGTTAAAATCGATATTTCACACAACCAATGAAGAACTAGTTGTCTGAGTGGAGCTTAAGTCTTAAGTATATTCACTCTGCTTTTCTCCCCCACGATACACAGAAACACCCAGATTTCCCCAAGAAGCCACTGACTCCGTACTTTCGCTTCTTCATGGAAAAGAGGGCCAAGTACGCAAAGTTGCACCCTGAGATGAGCAACCTAGACCTAACTAAAATCCTCTCCAAGAAGTACAGAGAGCTCCCCGACAAGAAGAAGGTTAGTCGAAAACAAAGGCCATTGCTGATACATTTGACTCTGGCACCGTTTGATACAGTTTCTGAAATTCCAACAAAAATATTGTTTTCTATTCTTTCCACAGAAAAAATATGTTGACGACTTCTTAAGAGACAAAGAATCATTTGTTCAAAGCATGATGAAGTTCAGGTGAGATTACTAGCTTTCACAATTAAGTAGTATTAACCCCGGGGATATAAGGCCTGCGCCTGCGGTTTGTATAAGGAGGCTAATTGTGCTTAAATGTTTTATGTGTAAATGCAGAGAGGAACACCCAGACCTTGTGGAAAGCATGACCAAGAAAGGTTCAAATGTACCAGAGAAGCCCAAGACCCCCCAACAGCTGTGGTACAACCATGAAAAGAAGGCTTTCCTCAAGACACACCCAGATGTAAGTTAAAGCACCTACTACACCACGTACAAAAAGCACCCTCTTAAACTGTGACTGCATGATACCATGGATGTTAATTTTCTCTGTCTGCCACCAGGCCACCACTAAAGACATTAAGGACAGTCTTGGCAAACAGTGGACACAGCTGTCTGACAAGAAGAGACTCAAGTGGATCGGCAAGTCTCTGGAGCAGCGGAAACAGTATGAGGTAAGACTTGGCTGTTAGAATTACGAAGGGTGATGATGACATGCCTTCCTTCTTTCTTCACTGTTAACTATGTTTTTGTTTGCAATATTCTAGGAGACAATGCGGGAATACATCCAGCAGCACCCAGAGTTAAACATGACCCAAAATGATATCGTAAAGTCCACCCTGACCAAGGCCGAGAGGCACCTGAAAGACAAATCTGACGGCAGACCCGACAAACCACCTCCGTGAGTCACCGCTGCAAATCCACCGCTGACACATCTGCATGATGCTGGTTGAGTTGAATTTGTTTAAATGTAATGTGTTATGTGCATATGATTTCAGAAATGGTTACTCGATGTTCTGCGCGGAGTTGATGTCAAACATGAAGGATGTACCCAGCACGGAGCGCATGGTGATGTGTAGCCAACGGTGGAAGCTGCTGAAACAGGCTGAGAAGGACGCCTACCAGAAACGCTGCGAACAGGTGAGTTCAGAATCAGCAAGTGTGTAATAAAAAAAAAAAAAA